ATTACACAAGACAGGCTAAACTCTCGGGAGAATACCAGCGATGAGCTCATGGTGCATAGGGCTCATAATTTCCATTAATAAAGTCAGGATGCACACCTTGTTCTTCACGAAGCTAGGTAAAAATACAACCGGGAGAGAGAGGAAACTGACATAATAAAGGCACAGAATCGCTTCTGTGAAGCTGTGCTTTGGAGGGACCGGAGCCGACTTCCCATCTTTATTCTGATTCTGGAATTTACCCGATCGCCCAGTGTTCCCAGCCCGGCAGTCTCAGGATCATCTACACCTTCCTCTCTTGTTCACTCTCTGTGACCAAATCTTCTCAATTCCATGTCAGACACGGCTCTCAAATCCAGCCACTGCCATCCATGCACAGCCAATACCTGGTCTAAAGTCTGGTCACCTGGGCTACATAATACCAGTTTTTAAGGTTGACTAAGTACTGCTAATAGCAAATACCCAGGCAGTGTTTTCTATGTGCCAAGAACTGTTCCAAGAGCATTCTCTTCTCACAACAATGCTATGAAACAGGACTATTCTCTGTCTTTCACAGAGAAGGAAAACAGAGAACAGAGAAGTTAGGTAACTTGGCTAATGTCACAGAGCAGGTAAGTGGTAGACCAGGGATTTGAATTCATGTAGCCTGTCTCCATAGTCTCTCATCTCAAACCACTAAAACAAATGGATTCTGTTTTAACTTAACCCATTATTATTTTTTATTATTGTTGCATTTTTTGGGGGGAATAGGGAATATAGTTAACTGGTTCAAAATTTAAAAGCTTCAGAGAGCTAGCTGCATACCGAAAGGACTCTTTGCCACTCTGGCTCCCCATTACCCTGGCCCTGGTTCAGGAGGTAGTCAGCATGGCCAGTTTCTTCAATAGTATCCTGAGCAAAAACTTATGTTATTGACATCCTTTTTTCTCCCCTCATACAAATATATGATACTGGATACAATTTGGCATTATGCCTTTCTCATCGAACATACATTGAAGATCGTTCTGTATCATATCAATACATGAAAAGCTTCCTCATTCTTTTTCTTTTTTTTCTTGAAAGACTGCAGATGGTCTAGAGATGGGCAAACTTTTCCTGTAAAGGGCCAGATAGTAAATATTTTAGGCTTTGGGGTCCATATGGTCTCTGTCACATATGCTGCTAGTGCTTTTTCAAAAAAACCTTTAAAAATGTAAAAACATTCTTGTCTCATGGGTTGAATTAAAACAGGCTGCAGGCCGGATGTGGCCACAGACCATAGTCTGCTGATCCTTCAACCAACAGGCTCTTATATCCAATCCTCCCTCACTATGGCCACTTCCCGACCATCCCGAAAGCACCATCCTCTGTAGCATACAAATCTGACACTGTCATTGCTTCCTTTAAACCCTCTCCATTGCTCCTCACTCCCAACAGGGTAAAGTCCAGAGTGCTTGGTGGTGCCTACGATGCCCTTCACAATGCATGTCTTTTTCCATACCTCCATGTCTACTGCACTGGTCCGTGCCGCCATCGGCTCTTAGCCTCAACTCTGCAGCGGCCTCTTTACTCCATTATTGGTATACAACCTTCTTGCCCCAAATCTACTCTTCTCACAGCAGTGCAGCCCTAGGGTTTTTTTTTTTTTTTTTTTTTTTTAGAAATGTGGATCACTTCTGAGGACCTCCAGTGGTTTGTTGTTGCCCTAGAAGGAAGTCAACTTCCTTACCATGGTCTACTGAGTGAGACAGCTCTGCTTGGCCCTTCTGTCCAACCTCATCGCCACCATCCTCTCTCCCTCCTTCTGCTTCCCACTCACCAGCCACACTGACTTTTCTGTTCCTCAAACAAGCCAAACTCATTTGATTCCTTGGCCACCTCCTTGGAGTTCAGCCTCAGTTCAAATGCCACTTCTTCACTGAGGTCCTCCTTTATCTCCCAACCTACAGGGAACCTCTACTAGTCCTCTGTTGTCACTGTGCTTTATTTTTTTCATGGCCCTTACGGTTATCTGTAAGTATATCTTCATTTGTATTTGCAAATTCTCTGCTCTGCCAGAATGTGTGGGCATCCCCAGTGCCCAGCACAGTGCCTGATACCTGAAAAATTTCTAATTGAATGGTCCAAGAGTTTCTGCCCAATTTACCTTTCCCAGTGGATCTCTCCTCACCCCTCACCTTGTACTTCAGCCCCCAGGACCACTGGCTTCCTCACCAATCATGAAACACAAACTTCCCTCTTCAGGTTTTATACTTTGTGCTTATGTTATCATCTCCTTCTCTGAGCAACAAACTCCTACTTACCCATCAATACCCAGTCAAATGTTACCTCTGCCATGAAGCTTTTACACTTTTCCTTGCTAGGGTCAACTTCTTCCAATGGCAGGTTCCCAGAGCACTTGGTGCAGAGCTCCGTGATCACACTGGGCTACAATTACTTACCACAAATGTTCACGTATTTATTATATCCTAAATGCCCCCGAACATTATATGTGTGTGTGTGTGTGTGTGTGTGTGTGCGCGCGCGCGTGCAGGCACGCATGTTTACATATGTTTATGTGTATGTGTGTGTCCATCAATATCCATCTATATCTATTTATATGTATTACATTTTGATTTTACCTAAATGAGTTCCTTCAGGGAAGGAACACCTTTGATGGGATTTATATGGTAAGTACGGGCACATAACAATATAAATAGCAGCATCTAGCTCTGTGCTAAGCGCCTAACATACATTCTCTTATGTAACTGTTCCAATAACCCAAACGAGCCCAGCACCACTATTATCTGTAATTTGTAGATGAGGAAACTAAAGTGAGATGAGGTGACGTGCTCCTGGTGGATGTGACTTCCTGCAGCCAGCTGGTGGGGTGGCTCTCTGGAGGTCTGTTTGCCTTGAGGCAGTATACAAATCTGTCCTGTTTCCCTGCATGAGATCCGGGGGGCACAGCTCTGCTCAGAGAGGGTCAGGTGGGGCTCGCTGTCTCCCCTGTAGCAAGGTGCTTTCTCGTGGGGGTCACAGATGTCCCTTCGCCAGCCAAATGGAGAGACACGATGACTATGCTGCCCTTGCACACCTGTGACTGCCATCCCGAAAGGGAGCCAGATGTCCTTGGGGCCTGCCCCCCGCTGCCACATGCTGCTTATCCACGTGGATGTAAGTGGCTCTGCTAGTTTACCCTTGAGCAAATGTGAAGGGACCATAGGGCTTTGGGCAGAAGGGTGAGAGCCTAGAAGGCACACGAGACAGGGCAGAAGGAGCTCCATTTCTTTATCATTTCTTTAGTTACCTCTTTCCCAGCCTTATGGAACTGTAATCGACAAATAAGAATTGTATCTGTTTAAGGTGTACATTAAATGTGGTTATTTGATATTTGTATATCTTGTGAAAAGCACGGCAAGGGAAGTCATCAACAAAATGAAAGGCAATTTGTGCAATGAGAGATAATATGTGCAAGCCATATATCTGATAAGGGGCTAAGATATTTTGGATATTAGAACGCCTCCCACTCAATAGCAAAGAAAATAACCTGATTTAAAAATGGGCAAAGGACCTGAATTAGATATTTTTCCAAAGAAGACATACAAATGGCCAATAGGTACATGAAAAGGTGCTCAACATCTTTACCCTTTCCATTAAGTGAAGAGACTTCTCTGGCATATTCTTTCAGGGAATAAGGGCAACAGGCAAAATTAGCTTTTTTTTTTCTCCCTAAGTACAGGCTCCATTGTAGAGTGTATCCTGGTATAAAGGAGAAGAGAATGCCAAAATAGATTTGTTGTAGTCTGGCTTCTATTTGTGGGCACCGTGTAACTTTTCAGCCCATTGGGAAGATTCTGTCTAGACAAGTAGGTCACAAACTTTAGAGCAGTGCTGTTCAAAGTGTGGTGGCCTTTCGACCAGCAGCACCAGAATCACCAGGGGATTCGTTAGAATTGTAGACTCCACGACCCACTCCAGACCTGACAAAATCACACTCGGAATTTTAACATGATCCCCCAGGAGCTTTGTAAGCACATTCAAGTTTATGAAACACTGACCTAGGGCGCCTGATTAAAATGCATGTCAGGGCTCGATGCCTTAGAAATTCTGATTCCCTTGATGAGGATGAGATCCAGAGATCTGGCAAACATCATCTACTTTTGGGTGGTTCTGCTTACTTTTGTGAACAGTTGTGGTCCAGAGGCAGAACTGTGTGGTGAAAATAGTGCAGACACAGTATTTAGATAGTCCTGAGATTGAACCTCTGCTCAACTACCCATCAGCTAGGTAATCCTGATTAACCAGTTCATCCTGTCAAGCCTTAGCTTCCTCAACTGTAAAATGGAGATAGTCAAGGCCTGTACCTTTAGCTGTGAAGCTTAAAGGCCATAACATATGTAAAGTGCCTAGTACCATATGTGAAGAGCTAGTGCTGTGGCACATAGCACTTGTGAATATTAAATTTTAGAACTATTAGATAGAATAGCTACCTATTGGTTGCACCACTGAATGGTGGAATGGGCCAGAGTACTGATTAATTTCCATTGCAGAGACAGGGAAGGTCAAAGGGGTTTAACTTTGATGGCTATAGTTTCCCTATTACTTAACCTTGATCTTGAAGCCACAGAGAAAGGATTAGATTGCAACAGCCATCAAACTTTATCATTTATTAAGAATAACCCAGGAAGTGAGTTTAAAATGCTGATACCTGGGGGCTGTTTCCCCAATTTCTGTTTCTTCAGGTCTGTAGTGTAGCCCAGGAATCTGCATTTTTACCACCAGGAGATTAAATGCATGAGGCTGCCAATCTCGCTCTGAGAAATAGTGGCCTCGATAATATATGTATTCATTCAATAAACAAAAAGCTGGACACAGGTGGGGCCCTTTGTGGGTGGTGAGAAATACACACAAAGAGAAATGATTTTGTCTGATGTCGGCCCTGCTGGGAGCTTGGGCCTCTGAGGAGAGCATGGGGTCTGCGCGTCTACATTAAGGCATCTCTAGGAGCAGTGGCCCAAAAGACCAATGGAAAAGAGCTGTACCTGGGCTTCTGCAGCTTCAATGGTGTGGGAGAGATTTCCATTTTGCACAGGTTCTGAAGCATCACTGGGTGGTGTCATTTCAACCTCTGTGCTGGTGCTGTTTGGGAGCTCGATTTTTTCTGATAGAATTTAGACACACACAAAGAAAGCAAATGTTGTCACTTTAGTTAGGAGCCATATTGGAAAGAACAATGGCCTAAAATGTCGGGCCAGAGGGGTGGTAAGACCCGGGGCTGGGGTTGTGCTAAATGACAAAGGACTTTTACCATTCTCCCCAACATCCTTCAGCAAATCAGTGTTCTTCCTCTCTTTAATAGCTCTCTGGCCTTCTTATGCTGGCCTGATATCTCGAGTGCCTTCTCAGCCCCCCTGGTGTGCATTCTCTAGACTAAGCAAGTTCACCAAGTGGCCATTCAAGAACATGAACACAGACATTTTTTCACCAAAACCATACTCAGTCTACACACTACTATAAATACTCAAGACTACACCCCTTAGCTTTTTTTTTTTTTTTTTTTTTTTTACAACAGGATCTTTTCTTTTGTACTGCATTCTGGAAAGGATATTTATTGGCTAGGGCCCCAGGACACTTGGGTCCTAGGCTCTGCTCCACAACTATCAGGCTGTCACTTTAGGCAAGTCTCTCCTTCCTCCAGGTTTCAGCAACCTTATCTGTAAAATGAGGGGGGTTCAGGGGCGCCTGGGTGGCTCAGTTGGTTAAGCATCTGACTTTGGTGCAGGTTATGATCTCATGGTCTGTGAGATCAAGCCCCACGTCAGGGTCTGCACTGACAGCTCAGAGCCTAGAGCCTGCTTTGGATTCTGTGTCTCCCTCTCTCTCTGCCTCTCCCCTGCTCATGCTCATGCTCTGTCTCTGTCTCTGTCTCTGTCTCTCTCAAAAATACACATTAAAAATTTTTTTAAAACAAAACAAAACAAAAAAAACTGAGGGGGTTCAACTGGTTGACCTTAAGTCCCACTGCTTCCAACTCTAATTCTCTAGGCTCTGTGAGTGTACAACCCTGCCAAAGTCTAGGTGATGGGGGCAGGCTCAAGAGCCTGGCCTTCTCTAAATACCTGTAGAACACTACTCAGCACATTCCCCACCTGGGCATCCTACTGCAAGCATGGCCAGGGGAAGCTGAATAAGAAACAGAGGCCAAAGTTGGTCACTGCTAAAGCACAGGTAACATCTCGCTAGTATGAAGCCACAGGCCAGCAAGCACGGATTTGTTTTCCTCGGGGAGTTGAAAAGTGACTTCAGGGTCACTGGACTCTTCAACGCCGGGCATCCCAGACAGGCCCTGCTTCATACTCTGGCTCTATTGCTATGCTCTGGGACCCTTAGCAAGTCATTCAACTTCTCTGAGATTTAGCTTCCTCATCTGTGAAACTGGAGTGATGCACTAATACTGTTACTACTAACAACAATGCAGTCAAAAGGTATATCTGCAAAAATTAAATTTAAAATTGCATATAAAGCACTTAGCACCATGCCGGAACAGAGACACATAAACTATCTGCTCATTATCAGAGTAACTGCCTTGCACTAGAAGATTTATTTTTTGAGCTCAGAGGAGCACCTCAGGTCATCAGTCATCAGGCACTACCAAGGTCTGCCATGACTTCAGTGGGAGGGAAGTATAAAGGTTTTCAGGCCTTCTGGCTGTCCTGGGTAATTCTTGGATTTCGGGAGACAAGGAAGCTGTGTGGTTCAATGTCAGGGTTGCCAGGAATATCGTAATGCTTGTCAGTATCAGATATGACTGGCATCAGGCTGCACACAGAGTATCAGAATGGTTTTTTTTCCCCAGTAACTTCCAAAGGACTACATATTTGCATCACTGGAAAATATTTTGAGAGTCACATAAAAACCATTGAGTTGGAAGTGGACTAAGTTTGGAAATCATAGGGAAATGCTTATTTATTCATGTACTTAGTTGTGGAATACAGAGGCATAAATAGTTTTTTATTAAGTTTATTTATTTATTTTCAGGGAGAGGCGTAGAGAGGGAGCAGGGGAGGGGCACAGAAGGAGAGGGAGAGAGAGAATCCCAAGCAGGCTCAGCACTGTTAGCATGGAGCCCAATGTGGGGCTCAAACTCACAAACCATGAGATCATGACCTGGGCCAAAACCAAGAGTCAAACGCTTAATCACCTGAGACACCCAGATGTCCCCAGAGGCATAAATATATTTAAACATGGAAAGTGCCATAGACACTCAAATTTATTTTATCTTTCCATGTTTTTAACAGTGACAGTGTTATGTATGCGATATTCTGATTAGTCATAATATGCTTGGTTTGGTTATTAAATATACTAAACACTAAGTACTTCATGAAATACTGAAACTGAGTTTTGGGGTGTCTATTGGTTGAAGTGGGACAACTTTAAGATCAGCCTGCAATGGCCAAACCTGACCGTGACCAATATGGGATTCTCAGATCCCAAAGCGGGATTAAGATGTCTGAGAACAGACATGGACAGATAAGAAGAAAATCTCCTGTACATGATATTTAACAATTCAGCTTATTCTCTTTAAGTTTATCTTTTCTTTTTAATGTTTTTTAAAAATTTTTGAGAGAGAGAGAGGCAGAGAGACAGAACATGAGTCGGGGAGGGGCAGAGAGAGAGGGAGACACAGAATCAGAAGCAGGCTCCAGACTCTGAGCTGTCAACACTGAGCCTGACACGGGACTCGAACCCATGGACCATGAGATCATGACCTGAGCCAAAGTCAGATGCTCAACTGACCGAGCCACCCAGGGGCCCCCAAGTTAATCTTTTCATACCTCGTGGAATCTTAACTGTTTCTTGGCCAAAGATTTTCCCTGAACTAGAAGTCAGGATAACAGGAGAGGCAGAAACTCTTCTAAGGAGTGCTATATATTTTAGTGCAACACTGCTGAATTTTGTCTGCAGATAATTGCAGTTTCTTGGGTGATAGCATCGTTTGTAGCATAGATACAGATTAGGTTAAATTTAGTTTGAATTTGGAATTAGTGAGTTATAGTTGCAGACAGGAGAGGAGGAATATCATGTTCCAAGTTAAAATAAGATGTCTGAATGTCACGATCTGGTCACACAGGTGCTCATAAAAAAGTCAGCCAAAAGAGACCTGGGCTAGTACTGCTGAATTCTTGAGAAAGGAGAGGTAGTGTTGTCTTGTGGGGGCCCTGAACCTCAGTTTAGGGGTGACCAAGTGAACCATCTGGTAATTTAGTGGGTGTGGTGTAGGCAATGTCATAAGTGTAAAGTATAGGTATCTGGTTACCAGGCAAGAATTTCAGAAAGGATAATCTCACCTTTTGTTAAACATTAAATGACAGGTGTGTGTGTGTGTGTGTGTGTGTGTGTGTGTGTCTGCGTGCGTGTGCTTTTTACATGGAATTCCCGAAATGAAGTGATTTTCTACTTTTAAGGGAAATGCCTGGTTAGAAGCTGATTTTACTGTGGGTCCTCATAGAATCACTTACTCTTCTTGGAGTCTTCTGGAGCAGATGAAACAGTGCATCCATTCACGCCCTATACCCCCCATGGGAAATGGGCTCCTCCCAACACCCAGAAACCTGCTGAGCTGCAGGGCTGCACATCTGCACTGAGTCAAGGGTGCCCATGCTGGGTCCTCCCTCCCTGCCTCCCTCCGAGCACTCCGGGAAAGGCATGAGATGACAGTTTCTCTGCACTCACCCACGTGATTGGCAGCTGCATTCTGCCTCTCGTTCTCATCCACCTGGCATTTCTTCTTGGCGATCTTGTGGAGAATGGAAGCCTTTTCTCTGAACCTCCCTGAAGCAAGAGAAAGCAGTGGAGAGGAAACGCAATGAGGCAGAAAACAACACGTGGGGCTCGTGGAAAAAGGCGAAGCACTGGTGAGACAGGCACAGGGCTTCCTCAGTTATGCTGCATGATAATAGCAGCCACAGCTTTTTCCTCAATCCACATGGCCTAGGCTCTGCACAAAGCATACTTCCTTACCTTTGTGGGTTCTTTAGCCCTAATCTCTGTGTGAGAATCTCAAGCTCCCAGACCATAGTTGGGAGGTTTGACTTAGGCCTCTCCCCTCCCTCCTAATTGCTTACAAAATAAATGAAGGCACCAACCATCACTAAAACTTCCCCTCCTGCTGCAATCCAAAACAACTCGAGAGACAGAGAGCTGCTCTGGAGACACAAGCATTTCTCTGGAATTAAATGTACATCTCAGAATTGGCTTGTGACAATGAAGAAATCCAAACCCAGGCATCCTTTGAGTTGTTCCAACATCTTTATTAACATTGAAGTTTCCAAACAAGTTGGGAGCATGCACCCAGCTTTCTGAATTAGCTGAGTCAGCTGCAATTAAAGCCTCAAGGAGGCAACTGATTCCACCTGGGGATTTAGGGCAAAGAATGATTAACTGAGCACAGCAAGTGATATCTGTTGGTGATGAGATGCTTAGGAAAAGGTGCTGGAAAAAACACTCAAAATTCTCTAAGTAATCATTTAAAACAGACTATACCACAAGTATAACACTTAATTTCGTCTCCATTATTGACATAGGTAATGGTTAAATGCATGCAATAAGCACAGGAAGAAAAACAGCATGCAAAAATATAGAAATTAGTGAAACATAGTACATTCTCTTTTAGTCCTTGGGTCCCCCTCCCCTACCCACCCCCTGGAACATTTAAGGTACAAAGGAGTCTCATTTTAAACTGACTGGTTATTGCCTTAGATTCAGACATGATAAGTCCTTCAATACACCACAACCTCTGCAATTTTCTCAGTAGGCATTTGCGTTGGCTGGATTCTCTAGCAGCATATTAACAGAAGATCTCATTTTACTTTTCTAGTCAGACCCAAAGTGAACCAGACCAAAGAAAAACCCAAATGTTTCTCTTGGAGTGCCTCTCTTCCTAGGATGGGACATGACAGGTTGGCATCCACTAAGCCTCCCCTCCTCAAGGATGGAAATCATGGGGTGTGGCCATAGCAGTGACTTGCGTTCCTGGGTGGGGGGAGGTGACAGAAGCCGTAAATGAAAGTGGGATCAGCTGATGCCAATGGTCAAGGTGACACAGGATGGAGCCCTTTTTGCTTCCAAGCTTTATCAGTCACAAGCCTGGACATCTTGCTACTGCAAAGGCAGTCTCTAGGATGAAGGTGTCTCAGTGTAGGCAATGAACGTGGACTGCAGTGCACACTCTCCAAGGAAATAGGAAAGGAACCATTACACAAAACAAAGTAGGGTGGAATGTGGCTGGGGCTTTAGAGAGAATGAGAAAGAAGGATGAGGTGATAGGCATGACACCCATTCCCGCAGGTCACTGAAGGTCAGCGTCAGGTTCCCCATGCTGAAAGGTATTTTGAAATTGGCAGTTTCTATTTAATTTCTGAGAGAAATTCTGGGAAGGAAAGGGGAAAGAAAAGAGAGCCTGGGGACTAGGAGAAAGAGGGGGTAAAAGGGAATAAGAAATGAAAGAAAATGAAGAGAGAAAGAAGGAAGTAAAGGAAGGAGGAGGTAGGCAGGGTGGTGACTGCCTGGACGTTGCCCAGGGAGCGCTGATGCAAGCCACTTTCCCAGGTGCCAAACCCAGTCTTATCTGGAGATGAGCTTAATAATGAAGCATGGCTGTCCATACTCTGCAGCTTTATGCCTGAAGGGCAGTACTCCTCATGGAAGACAACCCCAAGATGTCTTCACTTCACTTGCTAAAAAGCCCAGGAGATGGAAAGGGGAAGTTTGGAAACATTATGAGATCGGATGCTCTTACTAATAAAACCATTCAGGGGTCTCAGGGCCATTCTTTGAACTTAGAACTGTCTGAAGCTCTGTGACATATGAAGGATCAAAAATTGCTATTTAAAAAGTATGTGAAAAATAGCAAGGATGCAGGAAAGCATTCAGAAGAAGAGACAAATACACCTGTGGAAACATAATGTGAAATAACCCGATCTCAGGAATGTCCCCCAGCTGTGAATCATGGCAGAGAAGATATGTGATAGAAAACAGCTAACTGCATCTTGTTTGTGGCTACAGGAGTATTTTTCAGAGTGTAGATGTATCCCAGAGAGAAATTAGAGTAAAAGAGACCCAAAAGCATGGAAGGGTTCTGCCAGGAAACCTCCTTCAACATGGGGTTGGTCATGCCACTCATGGGCTGGCTGCTCCAAATCCTCTAAAGGGAGGCTAGGAGCATAGGGTAGGAAATGACTCTAGACTTGGGATTTCATAGGTTCCCAAACATTTTCCCCGGTCAGTGAGGGCTTTCTAGAGAGTGTGTCTCTGCTTTTCCCACTGCAGCATCACTTCTGATTTTCTAAGCTTCTGAAAGGTGGGAGGGATCAGCTCTATCTGGTCCCTTGGGGCTTCGCCCTAGGGGCAATAGGGAAAAGCTGCAGAGGCTGGATGGGATCCTTCCTTCCCAGTCACTTCTTCAACTTTTTAAATTCAGCCTTTGTCCCAGTTAGCATGACCTGATTCCCATCCTGCATTCCCAGTGAGGACAATGGCTGCTCAGGGGCCCGAAGGGATTTTCCCTTAAAGAGTCCTTTTAAGAAAAGCAGCAGTGAAATGCCACCTTCAGAATTCAGTACACAGGTGTGCTCCTGGAGGGTGGTGGGGCAGAGCCTGACAAGAGTCAGGCATGCTGGTTTCAGCCCAACGGACACCCCGGGGGTTGCCACACCTCCTGAGAATAGATGTGAGGATGGCTAGCCAGACAAGCGTAAGCATGAGGTCCCTGCGGAGGAAACCAGCACAGAACCTGTGATTCTCAAAGACCCTCTGGACCTCGGGAAGGAAGGCATGGCACATTCAGGACCCATTTAGCCTGAAGCCACAAACTAGGGAGAACACCAAAGAACACCAAAGAACAGCACAGTATTGTGGTTACATTTTGGACATGACTTATAGTCAGGTAGATCTGGGTGTAAGCCCTGCCTCTTTCACTGGCTCTGCTGGGTGAGTTAAACAGGAATTCTATCGGGGCGCCTGGGTGGCTTAGTCGGTTAAGCGTCCGACTTTCGCTTAGGTCATGATCTCGCGGTTCGTGGGTTCGAGCCCCGCGTCGGGCTCTGTGCTGACTGCCAGCTCAGAGCCTGGAGCCTGTTTCAGTCTGTGACTCCCTCTCTCTCTGACCCTCCCCTGCTCACGCTGTCTCTCTCTCTCTCTCTCTCTCCTAGAAATAAAAAAAAAAAAAAAAAAAAAAAAAAAAAAAAAAACAGGAATTCTATCTGTTAAACAGGGATTCCTATGGCATTGACTCATGAGTCAGGTGCAAAACATAAGTGAGAAAATGTGTGCAAGGGGCTTATCACAACGCCTGGCATCAGAAGTCTGTAAATAAGAGGAAAAAGAAAAACGAATGAAAACCACAGGGCCAAGGTCACATGACCCTGAGTTGCCTTTGGAGAAGCGTTGGCATCTTCTCTTCTCTCAGTCCAGACATGCAAGTCTGGAGAAGTAGCTGACCCAATGGTCTAAGCCTAGTTGGATGGGTGTTCAGGTTTCCGTGAGTCCTCCAAAGTCAGTTCCAAACCGATTAGGAAAAGGATCACTGTACATCTTCCTGAGATGGAGAAGGTCAAGGTGATAGAGCTGACAGTCTGTGTCTTAAACACTGATACCTTTGCAATCTTAAAGTGGAAAGATGATGATCAGCTTTCTCCCATCACCTGTGAGGACAGAGTGCAGGCAAGGGGTTACTTGCCTTACTTGCACAATGGATCTATGTGCTCAAGGACCTTCCTGATGTACAAGGGTATTTATTACCTCCTCTGTCTCAGGCTTACAATTTTAAAATGGGGATAATAAGAACACCCTTCTCATATGGCTGTCAGAAGGCTCAATGCATTAATATGCACCAGGTGTTTAGATGGCCTCTGCTATATAGTAAATGCTCAGGAATTGTCACTCAGAAATGGTTATTATTATGGAGGGGAATGATAGGACATCCTTCCAGTGAAGTACTGAAAAGAAAAAGACTGATATTCATAATAGGATTCATGTTTAGCAGCCTCTGGTGCAGGAGACCTGTGGCCACTTCCATAAACTATTTGAGGCACGGACTTCACATTGGCATTAGGGTTGACACAGAGGGACAGACTTCAGAAATGAATGCAGCTCTGTGCCTGGGGAGAAAGAATGAAGACATTTTTGGGTGCTTTTCAAAGGGAGAGAAGGAGTGATTTTTTACATGCTTTAAGGCAACCTTAAAAAATATAGTCTGTTGTAGTGCAAAGCCTTGAAGTGCTGTATTTTTACACAGCGAAAGATATTTGTATACTTGAAATCTCAGAAATAGCGAACTCTGCTCAAATCGTGAGGCACCTACGTCAAAACCTAGGACACAGTTTTAATATAGTTTAAGCCTGTTCTGAAGTTTGCAGAGGAATCCCAGCTGAGTATCTGCAGGGGGATGTGTGGAGAAGGGGTGGCAGGGAAGAGCAGAAGAAAAGATCAAAGCATAAGTACCTAATGGGACAAAGAACACATTTTGAAAACCAATCAGGAATCAAAATCCTTGACCCTGTCACCCAGACATGAAGGAGAACCCTGCTGCACAGCAAAGTAACCTTCTGAGGGTGTGCTCACCCAAAGGAAATGGATTTTGTTTCTGTTCAGTTGTTAATTAATTAAAACAGTCCTTGGAAATTCCTTCTCTTGTTCCCACCAAGCCTGTAATATCCCGTGTTACAAAGGAACCCTTTGGCTTGGTGATCAGATCAGGTCCGGGCTGCTCCAGAACATTCTGAGTATCAGCAACACAGAAGAGACAGAGCAAAAGAGATATATCGATGCAAAAG